CCCTTCACCAAATGTCAGGGTAGTCCCTGGCAGTGACATGCCAACTACCTTGTTCTCAGTGCTCTGACTGGTGTAAGTTAAAATGCAAGGGAGCGGGGAAAGGGGTTTTCACCCCCACCCCCCCACCCCCCCAAGATTCCTTAGCAAGGCAGTGCTCTGGTTGATGTTGCCAGAGTGCTGAGGAGTCAGTAGGTGGCATGTTGTGGCTGCGGATAGACACAACATGGGAGTCAGGGGAATTTGCATTTCCTGTCAATGTAAAAGGTACACTGGACAAATTCACTGAGAAATGCTAATAATCATGATGCATAAATACATACATTTACATTACAGCCTCCGTATCTGAGGGAAATACCTTCCTGAACTAAGGGTATATCTACACTATAGAATTAATGCATTTGACACCTCTTTAACTGTCCTGGCTGAATGCTATATAGGTTGGTGATAAGCTAGCACTCTTTGGCAAAGAAGGCTAAAGACCTTGTAGAACTATAATGCCCATGATATGGTGTCAAACTGCATTAATTCTACAGTATAGATGCACTCTTTGGTTCTAATTCACATAAAAGTACTGGAATTACATATACATATAATCCATTCTCAGTTCCAAACCTTCTTCTTAATTTTCTGCTCTTTTTCCTTAGTCAATTACAGGCTGGTGAATGCAGAATACTTAAAGTTGTTCCATAATCCCTATTCTTCATTGCACTTCGCTATCAACCTTCATCTTCTCTAGTTAGGTTCCCACTGCTACTCTGTGACCTTCCTTCAGCAACTGAATTTCTGATAACTTTCCGCCATTAGGTTTCTGTACCTTGAGGAAACTCTTTGTAGTTATCAGACTGTTCCCCCGAGTACCATGTGATATTGTAATCCTGGCCAAATTGACAATTTTTCAACTCCTCATGCTCAGCAACTAGCTTGAAAATGTTTCTGGAGTTATCGTCACAACTGCATTGTACAATAAGTTATGATCTGGCCCAAGGCCAACCAACAAGTCTCATGGTGGAGCAGAGCTCTGAACCATGATGGCTGAGATCCTACATCAAAGGCATGGAAGGTAATGCTCCATGCCTGCAACTCTATAATTCTTTTCTTCTTGCAGTTGTCAAGCTCTGGGGGTTACTGCTACATCCATTAAATAGCTGTGGAGGGGGGAAGAAGAGAGCTAAGCAAGCAGTGAGGATTGCTTTTTTCCTCACTGCAGTTCACTAGTCTGAGAGCAAAAATGAAGGAAGTCGCCATTACTCCTCTAGTCTCTTGAGAAGTGAGGGGTGGAAAGTAGTCCCAGCTATTTGGTCACCTCCTTTCCATCCACATAACAATCATAGCTGTGACACCAAAAGGTTTACCAGATGGTTTATCTGCCCATCAAAAAAATGGAGCAATGACGACTATCAATCCACCACCCTATATAACACTTCTAGAGTAGATTCAGCATTTCTTTTGAAGGTCTTGGACAAATTGTCATTTTCCCCCAACTCATGAACAGCTGAAATTCTTTATTGTCCATATGATGGATTGTCCACAAATACTGATGTTTTAAAACTAGATGAAAACACAGAGAGATATGCAGGAGCTTTACTGTTGTTACTCCCTTAAGGCAGAGTGCAAGGGCGTAACAAATAGCCTCTTGTGCTCAATACAAAATAAGACATGGGTAACATTAAATTGCCCATTTGTATGTTGCTGAGAGGATTCCAGGTAGCAAGTAACTTTTCCAAGGCTTCCTAAGATTATTCTGCATTAGAAATACTACCTTGCACAAATAGTCTCAAGCATTTGTAGTTACTTCTCAGTATGTTTAGCAAAACCAACTGCATAGTCAGCTTACATTACATTTACCAAAGCTATGTGAGAATCAAAACCAAACTATATACTGAATGAAATCTTTGAAAGGAACATTGTAAAACCCAGGACAGAGACTAGTAGAAGCTTCTGTCCCTTAAAATGGCTTAATTTGTGAAGTAGAGCACAATTATGGTGTTTTATGCCTCTAAGCTGCCTTTTAAATAAATTATGCATTCAATATGTAATTAAGGTTCCAAGGTTGGCACTTTATGTGTGCTGACATTTCAAATATATAGGCAACCATTAACAAATGCATACCGTGGCTTTGGCTGGACAATGGAGTGAATCAAAGTCTAACTACCTTTGGGTAAATTAATCATCACTAATGCACGTTTTCATTTGTGTGAATTAACAAAATAGTCTGTAATTGTCTAATAAATTTGTTAGAGAATACAGAGACTTAGATTTATAATGGTTCTGCATAGCCCATTATTCAATATTTTATTCCAAGGCAGAAATCAGTGTAAGATCCTCCTCTTAAAGAAGTACCAACATAACTTGAATGATAACAGAAATCCATTTTAATTTTAGCCCAAGACTATTTATATAGAGAAGAAGAAAAGAGCATGGGACCAGATCAAGGAATTCCTTGTAATACAATATCCTGAAAAGAGATGGGTGGAGAGAAATTGGTCTGAATCCCGTTCCTCTTGCCAAATAGAGTAGAACCGTTAAAACAATTTACTTACTTACATGTTGTCTCACTATTTGTTTTAATGATTCAATGTTTTTCCCAATAGGATTCAGGCCATGGCATGATTTCAGCAATCCCTGAAAGTGCTTCTGCCAAATTAGGATCTGAATTCCATTGTTAGTCCCAACTAGAGTAGAGCCATTGAATTAACTGATGAATGCTAAGCGAACTATTCGCTAAACCCCATTGATTCAATGAGTTTACACTGGCTGGGACTACTAATATGAATCAGGCTTTAGATCACCCTACGGATGAGGGAATGTTAAACAATTTCGGACAATATTTTAATAATGTAATAGTGGCCGAGGAATCTCTCCTATGGTGTAGGCTATGGTGGATGAAAGCTCACTGCTCATGTTTAAAAAATAGCAGCAATTCACATATAAAAATATAAAAATATAATTTTAATTAAATTCCTATCATTCCAGTTTTACACTTCTATGCAACATACTTTTAAGATTCTTTCACCCAAAGGAAGCTGTAGAATTGGGACACTTTATCACAAGTTTCCTTTGACTTCTTGTACTAACTGCTGAATATGTCTTTAGATTCCAAGATTGTGCTCCAGTCACACTTACAATGAATCCTAGAAGCACCAGATCCCATTTGATCTTGGAAGCTAAACACAGTCAGATGGGAGACTGGCAAGGAATACATTGTACAGTAGGCTATATATTCAAAAGAAGAAACTGGCAAAATCACCACTGAGTATTCCTTGCTTAAGAAAAACTTATGAAATTCATGGGATCACCATATGTCAACACACACATAATAAACCCTGGATTAGTATGTAATATTGGCACAAAGTTGGGATGTCATGTCGCTCATGTAACACGTGTCATGTAACTCATGTCACAGCTCAGCAAGGCATTGTGAAGCCAGCTGCAAATTACACCTGAATCATTGTTTAAAGGATAGCCTCAATACAATATAATAATAGAGCAAGCATACCACTCCCAAAAGATAATCAACCAACACTGAGACAATAGTTACATTTGGACCTAATAAACAATCTATCATCTCCAAAATACACTTGCTTGTTTTCTTCCTACGTCAAGGCAGTGGGCTCACACACTCTTAAGGCATGTTTTACAGTCATTGTAAAGACAGGTCTATCTCTTTCCCTAAAAGATAAATTAACAGATGAAAAATGTAGTATGTGGTTGCTGTTTGATGCTATAGAGTGGTCTGAAATGTTTAATTTTTAAGATGTAATAATAATAATGTTAAAAAATACTTCAAGTGACTACTTAAGTTTTTAAAAAACTGGAAACAAATCCATAATCTCTTTTTTAAAAAAAACACATGGGATGTGTCTATACATTTGAATTTATGTGTAGCAAAATATCACAGTTCCTTGTATAGTCCAACAGCGCCATCCAATGTATGTTTACTCAGAAATCAGTCTCACTACAATGTGTGGTGCTTACTCCCAAGTAAGCATCAGGATTGTAGGCTAAGTGTCACATCTACTACTCAACAAGTAAAATGTTGAGTGTTTTTCCTCTTAACATAGGAGTAAAAACTGTACTTTTTCAATACCCTTTAAAACTACCCCTTCAACTCAACAATAGACTTTCTAGATGCTGGAGACCAGTAGTGGGGACAATGGTCTTCGAAAGACTTGCCCAAAGCAATTCAGGTTGAAATGCCACAAAACTATTTGAGGACCAAGCTTGGCACCACAAAGGCATCACAAATAGTTCTTGTATGAATACCACCAACCTGCCTCTTCACACAGATGTGCAAATCCCACTTTCTAAACACTCATGGTGAAATAGCTCATATTCTGACTTCAGATGTTTATATTGATCCATTTGCTATCCAAGGACTAGGATTTAAGAACAGCTATGCCACTTCCTGAATACCGACTCTCAGAAACCCACGAGGTTACTTGGAAATGTAGCCATATTTTTACTCCCAAAAGCAGCTGCCAAATGAAAATATGAAATATTATTTTAAAGAATGGGAGAGGATCTATTGGAATTGTTCAACAACAGCAGGATCTTTGCTTTTCCAGAGTCCAGAGAGTCCCTGGATATTTATCCAACCCTTCCGTTAAATGTACTGCTGTCAAACAAGTATCTCATTTCAGCACCGAGCCACTCCAGTGTGAAACAGTAGTCTACGATTTGGGTTTGCTTTGAAAAACTTATCTCATTATAAATTGCATGTGCAACAATCTATATTTGCAATGGCTTTGCTCAGTGAGAAAATGATACTTGAATGAGAATCTTCTGCACAGATACTTAAAATGCATTTCCTTCTCAAACAATATAACATCCAAGATCCACACACACACATCTCATGTATGTATATACATCATATATATACATCTCAGTGTCTCAATAAGCCCCCTCTTCACATTCACTTCACTTAGAAAATGCTCAGAAAAGCTGCAGAAAATCAAATGAAACAACACTGCATGGCTTATTTAGAAAAAGGCATACGTTACCAGATGCATTGTTGAAGTTTCTGGATCACCTGCAGGAGAAAAAATGGGCTAGAAATCAGATGCTGCCACAGTATTCCTGAGTATTACACAGAGCTGGATCTGACTGTTGCAAAATACCAGGCAAGTGTGAGGCTGAAAAACCTTTGAGTTGAGCTCACTCTATAGGCATCAGAAAGCCTCAAAGGGGAGAGGGTGGAGGGAAGAGGAGAAGAAGAAGGAAAAGAAGAAGGGAGGGGAAGCAGAAAGAGGCAGCACACAAATAGCTAGATGAGAAACTTCTGGCACCTTTCCAGCTCAGGAATGAATTCACTGTAATTTGGAGATATATAGTGAAGGAAATGAGGGGAAACTTAGGTTTACAGATGGATTTCTCCCTGCTTAACAGGCTCTGCAAATACGTGCAGGCTTTATCTCAGTTAATTTTAACAATGCTGTTCCAGAAACAATACTGAACAAATGTAACTCTCTTCGCCACAAATGCACACTCACACACACAGAGCAGCCTTACTAGCTTCCCAAGATACTAGTACCGACCTCAAATGGATCATTCCATCAGCTATTTTCTGAGCATTTTATTAATCCCAGCACAGAGCTATAGCAGCAAATCTAATTCCTTTTATGCCTCAAAGTGGATTCATAGCTTTTTATAAGGCACTTTAGACATATAAACAGATTTATTTATGTCAGTTGTGTATTTCTGATAGTATTAGAAAGCTAAACTATGGTATTCCACCTCACCTCCCACCTCCCATCTAATGCCCATAAACACTCGTTTGGACAAGGGTTTAAGATGATCAACGTGGGGAAGTATTTGAGATTTTTCAGTAATAGCATAAAAAATACAATTTAACTCTAAATTGAAATGGCTGTCAACATTTTAAAAAAAGAGATGGCTAATGTTTATAATTGCCACTGATATGAATACAATATCTCCCGATTTAGAGACCTGAAACACACACACTGCAGGTGGAAAAGAGAAAAATGCTTGATTTTCATGGGCAAAATCCAGTGATCTACCTGCAATGAAAATGTATCCTCTCCATTGAAGTCCTCAGTGACCTGTCTGCTCCAAATAAAATTTGCTCTAGAAGTTAAGAAACCCTGCAGAGCAAATATTGAGGATCTGGTAAGTGTATCCACCATCCATATTGCACTGTCACAAACCTTTCCATCCATGGGATGTGTAATAAGATATAGCCCAATGGTTTGCATCCCATTTAATTATGGCTAAGTTCTCCCCTTAACATCAGTAAGAGAAAATCATGACTAATATAGCCTTGGGCCCATTCAATATTAGCTGAGCATTTCCTTTATATGTGTTAAATAAAGTCATTCATGTCAAACTCAGATAACCATGCATAACTATGTATGTCAGATAAAAGCACTGGTATAGGGGGAAAGTCTTTTCAACTACTCATAAACTTGCTTATTCACTCAAGACCAAATAGTTTGGGTTTTTTTAAATCTGTTTTAGAGTTCAGAAAAGCAACCAAGATGATTAAAATGTGTTTTTCCTCCATGCTTGCTCTTCTTTCTGTGTATCCCTAAGGCTGAATTCACACAACTGTTTTCCTCCCATCAAGAACTGTTGTTTTTTAAGTCACTCACCCCCTGCTGAAAACCCAAGTCAAAATGAAAACTGCGAATGGCCCAACAGGCATTCAGTTCCCCAGTCACCACACAAAACAGCAAACTTCAGGTTTTTAAAGTCATGCTGTGCCAAGAGCCAAACAAGTGATACATTAGACTCTTCTCAAGAAGCTGATCTGTTTCTGAAAAGAACTTTTTCTCCATGGAGTAAAACCTTGTAGACAAATAGAAATAAATAATAATGTTACATTGAGAGGTATTCGCATTTGAATTAAAATAATGGATTTGATCTAAAGATTCAGTTCCTCAAGTGAAAGCAGTCCACTCATTATAGAGGACTCCATCCACTGATGGAAGCAATATTACATCAGAAAAAATGCTCCTATAGTCTGAGGAAGGCAACCTTTGAAATAAAGTCCTTGTGTGTTACCCAGTGTTTCCATATTTGAAGAATGGTATGCTAGTCTGGATTTCAACCTATCATATGAAGGAGGGACCTCTCCAAGGTACCTATTCTTTTTCAGGGATAGATCTCAGCAACTTGGACAGTGCCACTGAAATTCAAAGTAGTACTTCTTGTGACTTTCCTGTGGAATGACCTACCGGAAGAGTTTTGAAAACTAAATACCAGTTTCTTCCAGTAGTTCCATCCAGATTATTTTTAAATTATGAATGTTTAAATTACCATTAATTTGTTTTTAATATGCATTGGCTCCAGATGCTCTTTCATTGTGTTACATGTTGAATTTGTTGTTCTATGCCTTGTTCCATAGGGAGAAGTGAGTAGAAATGTATAGTAGAAGTACTAGAAGTAGTATGCTGTTATTCATTTATCATGCCAGAATGTATAGAAAAACCACAAACGAAGTTTAAAACTTGGCATTATACTAAATTTCCTTTTACCAGAAGCTGGCCACCTCTGTTTAGATTCATCTTCACAATAGAAGAAAATTTTCTGTCTCCTTGGTATTCTAGATTCAAAGGAGGCATGTTATCCTTGCAGTTAGAAAAGCCAGGCTTTAGCACAGTGGGCTAACTGCCAGTTGCAGCAAATCTTGCCAATCAAAAGGTTGACAGTTCAAGCCTGGGCCAGCAGCTCTTCTGCCCACCTAGCAGATCAAAAACAGCAATGTGAACAGATGAATATGTACTGCTTTAAAAGCGGGGAGGTAATAAAGGCGTCCATAAAGAACATACCAATGATTTGATTGGGAGGCATCTACACCATGGGCATGGAAGATGGAGTGACACCTCCCCCCCCCCATGGCCAGAGTCAAGCACAGCCTCCAGATGTCAGAGATGGAAAAAAGCCTATACCTCTGTTTATTTATTGTTTGTCCTGTCAACTGCATAATGACATTGAATGTTTGCCTACATGTGTTCTATATAAAGTTTGTACGCTGCTTTGAGTCCCCTGTGGGGTGAGAAGAGTGGGACAGAAATTATATAAATAAGTAAATAAATATAATGCTGAAGGACAATCTGCTACTCTTCTATACCATAAATCTGTTGCAGTGGGTTGGGGAGTTCAGTGCAATCCTTCACATCCATAGTGAAACTGCCCATCCTGGGCTTAGTGGGGGAACTTCACTACAAGTGGGGGAACTTCACTACGAGAATTGCCACTCAAAACATCTGGAGGGTACAAAGTTGAAAAAAGTAGATAGATTGGATTATGATGTGACCCTAAAAGAATGTGGAGCTAACTGTTTTATGCTTGCCAATTATTACTGGACAGAAAACAAATTCACTGGCTACACTGGGATAATAATATCTAGTTGACAGCCCAAGTTGTATGTAAAGTCCACAAGATGCATTCTCAACATGCTAGTTTTGTATTAAGTTCTGTTCTGTTCTTTACCTTTTTATGACTCTTTTTTGAAAGAAATTCCACAAAGAATATTATTGTAATGTGTTTTTCTTCCATTCACCCATCCCATGGTTTTAGAGTAATTTTAACTGGTTTGCATGTAAGATTTTAAGTACCAGTGGTCAGTGCCATATTTAGGACAAATGAAGCCCTGGTGCTAGTTCAGTTATGAGGTTCCTTCCTTGGGCCCCAAAGAAAGTAGGTCCGGTAGGTCTACATTGACTGCTTTGTGGCACACTCCCATAGATTATCAACTCTATCATTATGTCTAGAATCACTCTGAAACAGAATGCCTTCAAATTTAGAATTGTACCACATAAGTAAAATATGTTAAAAAATTGGGGCAAGAAGATGGACCCTCCTAGAAAACAGGGCCCTGTGCTTAAGCACATCTAAGCACAATGGTGAATCTGGCACTGCCAGTGATTCATGGTCTAGGAAGGATGGGCATTAACTCACCATTTCAGAATAAGACCTCCTACAACTCATATTAAAATCCAATCAAGAATACAAAGAGATAGATTATTGAAGGACTGGTGAACAGAACATTGCAGAAAGCAGAAGAGAAGGGTGGTCAGGTTCTTTTTGCCAGCCCCACAGAACCCCATCACCCAAAAAGACTGTCTTTTTAGGGGAATTTCAAGAGTTGGAGCAGGAGATGAAGCATAACTATATTTCTGATGCAGGATATTGGCCTACATTCTATTGTAATGTTGCACCTGCTGACATTCTAACAATAATTTCACTGATTTACTTATAATGCAAACCTTTGCATGTCTGTTCAGGAATAATGCTCACAGAGTCCAGTATGGAATTCATTAAAATCCTGAAGTCCATATTATATGGAATTGCCCCTATTTTGATGCAAGTTGCTAAATTATATTTCCCTACCACGATAGGGCATGTAAAATTTAAGGCAACTGCCTATGCAGAAATTATGCCAATTTTTTCACTTTTAGTCTTTCAAATGAAATTGTCCCTTAACTGGAGAGACTGAGATTTATATTTTGAGCAGACTCACTATTTAGACTAAATCTACTGATGTAAAGGAGAATTAAATTGCCACCTTGAGTCCTGCGCAAGGAGGAAGGCAGGAGATAAGAGAGAAAGAGTCATGATTTACTTGAGTGCCATTGATCTGGATGAGTCTTCTTCTAAAGCATGACTAAAGTCTGGATGCAACCCAATATTTTTAGTACAAATGACATTTGTCTGAACCAATTAATGAAGGCACACAATGATATTTTATCCTTTTTAAAAATGTGTCCTACTGTTTTGTCGCAAGCCTTTGAAAACAGCAGTGTTCCATAACCAGCTTTGTGTCAGACCAAATAACTGAAAGGTATAAATAGCTTAAAAGCTTTCCACATGAAATACCTGACTTGTTCTGCAAGGCATCCAACAGGATACAGCTTCATTTGTATGTGTGTGCATGGTTAGTTGGTTCTTCTAAGGCCTCTCTCACATTTGGAATTTACAGCACATTCTGAATTTGAGGCTTAATGAGAAACCTGTTGGCGCCAGCAAGCTTCTCCAGTTAAAGGAGTAAGGAACCTTCTCATCTCAATCCCAGTCACAGAAGTGATGAACTTGACAGAGAGCCAGAACCACAGATGTTTTAACAGGGAGAGTTCTTTATCTAAAGTTAGAGAAGCCAAAAGAGAGAGCTGTTGAAGTAAAACTTTTTTAAAATGTAATATATAGTTCATTCTGCTTGCT